CCCAGGGTGGGGAACAGGGGAAGGGCCCGGGGCAGTCGGTGCCAGCTGGCCTGTGTGGAATTTACGAGCAGAGCAGCCAGGCTGGGTCAGACCAAAGGCCCATCCAGCCCAGCGTCCTGTCTGCCCACCGTGGTCAGTACCAGGTGCCCCAGAGGGAGGGAACCGAACAGGGGATCGAGTGATCCCTCCCCTGTTACCGATTCCCAGCTCCTGACGCAGGCTAGGGCCACTATTCCTGTCCCTCCTGGCTAATAAGTATTGCTGGGCCTCACCTCCATGAATGTATCTAGTTCTTTTTTGAACCCTGCTAAAGTCCTGGCCTTCACATCATCCTCTGGCAAGGAGTTCCACAGGTTATCTGTGCGGTAAGGTAGGAGAATGAGGAGAGGTTCCCAGACAGGACAGATCACTAGTCAAGCAATACACCGGCTCCGCAGGAGCCCAGGGTCATAGCCAGCCCTGTCTACCCAAGGTACATGCCTGGGTTGCCAAGAATTTAGGCACTGAGGTGGCCTTGGCCCCGAGCATCAGGGTCCAGATTTTCACAATTGCACGAGTACAGTAGTGCACCAGAATGGCCCGTCAAAGTCGGCGTGCAACTGCACACCTGGTTTTGGGGGGTCTGAAAACCGGGTCCTAAATTTCACAGGGTCCTTTTTAGAAAGAGCAGAAACTTGCTGTGAGTTTTTTGGCCTCGATTCCCCAGCGACATGCCAGGGATGGGTTTTCTGTCTGCTGGGCTCCTTCCCTCTCGCCTGGCTTTGTGGGCCCGACCCAGCGCCCACCGAATCAGTGCGAAGAGCCCTCTTACTGTCAGGGGGGTTGGCTGGAGCCCCCGCGGCGGGGAGGACAGAAAGAAACGTAGCACGCCAAGGGCAGAGCCCCGTTGCCAAAGCCAGCCCAAGGCTAAGCCGCAGGAGGGGCTGGGTGTGTGCGGCCGTTCCAGCACCCAGCCCTGGGCCAAGCGGTACCGTGCCAATGACGGACCAGTCCCAGCTGCTCAAGTACAAAGCTGGGAACGAGAGCCGGGGAGGCTGGGGGCTGTCCCTCTGTCATGGAGCCAGCCCCCACGCCGCACGCCCTGTGGCATGTGCCCAGGGCTCTGGCCCCGCACGGCCTGGCCGGTACGTTACATCGGGAGCTCTCTCCTAGAACTTCCTGCTGTTTGGAGCTGACGTCCGGTACGTGTAGCGGCGTCCGGGCCTGGATGCCGCAAGGAACGACGCTACACAGACAGCGCTCCTCTGCCCCCTGCGCACGCCTGGCCTTCGGCACGGACCCTGGGTGCCCGCCTCGTGCCCAGGGAGGGCTCCCGCTTCGCACCTTCCCCTGCACTTCTCTGCTGCCAACGCTGTGTGGCCAGGAGCAAAACCCACCGGCGCTGTCTCCAAGGCACCTGCCCTGCCAGCCTGGGGCTGGGTCTCTGGGCCGGGCTAGGCAGAGGAGACGCGCATGCAACTGAACAAAAAGCGAACCCGCGCTTCCCTCCCGCCGTCAGGGCCGTGCAGCTCGGCACAGGAGCCGACCAGCTCCCAGGAAGGG